AATGGCCGGGGGTTGAAAAAAAGGAGGGGGGGGGGGGGACTACTGATAATGTCAGCAGCTGGATTACATAACGGACTCTTTTTCACCAAACACCGCAGCGTCCCTTCCACCTCGCTTCTCAATTAGCGGCGCGTACTCCGGTGCAGCAGTTGATGGGTGGCCCTCCAGTCTGACCTCGCTCAGCTCTGCTGCTCCCCCCTGTTTGGATGTGCGGTCTACATAGAACTGCAAGAGCCCAGCTCCATAGGCATCGCCCTCTACATTCAGGACTGTGCAGGTGCGGTCACTAAGGGTAGAGAGAGAAAGAATGGCAAGGAATAATTTTATATAATAATAATAATAACTCCAGCAGCAATTTAGGTATTGTGGTATTAGAAACTGTGGTCCACATAACACAGGTGTAGTTTGTACTTACACAATCCAGTCAACAGCCAGGATGAGAGAGATGTCAGTGGTCGGCAGTCCTACTGCCTCCAGGATGATGGCGAGGGTCAGCACACCACCAGCAGGTATACCTGCTGCTCCGACACTGGATGCTGTAGCTGTCACACTAACGCATTAGGGAAGAAGATGGTACAGTTAGACAAAGAGAGAGCAGATAACATTTTATTATTTTTATTTAGCATTAACATTAAATTATACACCAACTAAATTTTTTTTAACTACCCAATAAGAGACATTGCACAGTTGGACATAGTATTATGTCCAGGTGTTTGACTGCAGACGTGTTTCACAGGCATTAGAACTTACAGGATGGTGATGACTTGGACGAAGTTAAGGGAAAAGTTGTTCAGTTGAGCGATGAAAACAGCAGCCACACACTGGAAGAGAGCAGCTCCGTCCATGTTGACCGTCGCACCGATGGGCAGGATAAAACGGCTGATGTGCTTGGATACGCCGTTATTTTCCTCCACACACTTCATCATCAGGGGCAGGGTGGCAGAGCTAATAAACAAGGAACAGCAGATGTGTGACTATATGAATGTGAAAGGTACAGGAACATGTTTATAGACTGTGTGTGTGCTGTAGAACGGCTTAGGTTAAGGGTTAGGCAAGTAGTCGTTAAGGTTATGTCTCCTCGAAGTGAATTTAAGTCTGTAAGAACCTGGTAAGAAAAAATAAGGGTGTGTGTGTGTGTGTGTGGAAAAAAAAGGTGTGTGTGTGTGTGTGTGTGTGTGTGTGTGTGTGTGTGTGTGTGTGTGTGTGTGTGTGTGTGTGTGTGTGTGTGTGAGAGATAGAGTCAGAAAAGTAAGAAGCAATGCATTATGTACCTGGAGCTTGTTCCAAAAGCTGTTGCTAGAGCTGTGAATATCCCCCAGAGGAAGGTGTATGGGTTCTTCCTTGTAATGACAGCGTAGATGGCAGGCAGCACAAGCAAGCCATGAATGGCATGTCCAATCATGCAGCAGGCTATATATTTTCCCAGGCTTGCAAAAAGTGTTCCAACGTCCTCCATCTCAACGATCTTGCCAGCTACAAGAAACATGATACCAAGAGGGGCGTACCTGAAGAGAGACAGAAAGCATAGTGAAGAGAAAGAAGGGAAGAGACAGTACAATGTGGATCATTATGGTTTTAGAATACAGAATATATCCAAAGAAAAAGCATCTCATATTCAACAGTCAGTGATTTTTCTAATCTCTCCTAATCAAGAAAACATGCAGGTCTTCCTTACCACATAATCCAGGAGACCAGAACCATGGTGGCCTCATTGAAGGAATTGAAGAACTTGATGAGGATCTCTCCTTCCTCTCCCAGCTTCCTTAAGGCCACGCCAAACACAATGGCAAACACAACCAGACCAAGAATATTCATGCCATCCTGGTCTGTTCCAAAGGGCACCTAGAGACAGAAAAAAAAAAACACACAATCAGGACACAACAAGATAGTGCCTTATGTTATGCGGTGTATATGCGGGTCTATTTCATGCGGACAACTAGACCATGCACTTCACTCACCTTCTCCACTGTGATGTTGGGGTTTCCATCCGTGCCATTTCTGGTAATCAGCTTGTAGCTGGTTGCATACTGGTCGGGAAAGAATGGTTTGCTAGGTTAGTGGACTCACCCAGATGGTTTTAAAACTCGTTAGACTATTTTTGATGCATTAATATTTAGAATCTAGGTTCAGTACTCACCGACTGGAAGGCAGCAGACACCAGGTTGGAAGGAAAGATGTTTCTGTGAAGACAGAACAACAATGATAGTTTAGAATCACAAATAGCTTCAAACTGTGCATCTCTGATACCCCTGTAGTCAGCTGTCTGTAATGGATTTAGAGAAATAAGATGCTTCACAAGCTCTTTAATGGAACCATGGCGCATCAGGGTTAAACATCATGTGACTGGGTGACATGGCAGCACGCAGCTGGTTCACTGACATAATTATGGTTGCACTACAATGAAAGACAAACAGGCTGCCCAGCTTTCAAATTTGTGTTTGTATAGAACATGTTGATACCACCTAGACCATTTTAGCTGGCTGGTAAGAGTAGAAAGGGGAACTCATAGCATTATGTCTGTCAGTTTATCATCATACTGATGTAGGATATGGTTCTTGTTACCATTGCTAACTCTGAGAGACGAGACAGTCCAAGTAACTTCAAAACAGTGCTGATTTATTCAAAGGATCACAGGTAAAATTAACATTACACGCTCAAGTATCTTGCACCTCCACCATGCACGCAGGCAAATGTAAGATGGAAAACCCTGAGCCCACCAGGCCTATACATTTTATCCCCTCGGTTGGGCTAGCCCCATACTACACAGAAACGTCAACCGGGACGTCTCTGTTGCCAGCTTTGCAGCTGGTCATAGCAGTAGTCAAAACATGAAGCAAATCAATGTGTGTGTGTCTGTTGGTTAAGTGGATTATGGCTAAGGCTACAGTTCTACACGTCATAATAATAATATTAAACATCCTGTCTGCTGACAGTCATCAGCTCTTCTCTCTAGTTATCCTTGACCAGATGTACCCTGTAGAAACTCATAAGCATGACTAAGCATTTAACAGTCTAACTAGACATCCTATCTCCACTAAACATTTCTAATACATAAAGTATCTATCTAATTTCTATCTGACTACAAATACCTATATACATATACACATATAGTTTTTAGCCAAAATGCAAGACTGGAGTCTGATCGCTATCGTTTACCTATCACCACTCTTGCTAGGCGTTCTTTTAAATGACATAGGCCTCTAGTTTATGCTGTAGTGTAAATAAAATGTGGACGTTTGACAGAGCCAGCACACCTAAATCATGCACTGTGCATTCTGCCTATGTTTGCACAGAGTTGATAACAAAGAGCTGTAACCTGAAAGCACCCACTTCCTTGTTTTTTTTGTATTTCTTCATTCCACAGATACAGAGTAATTCTCATTTATAAATAAAAGTAAAAGCCATGTCGACATGGGCTGCACTTCCTCTGGACCTGCTGTTTTTATTTAACAGTTAGTGTTATGATACTTAACACTAACACTGTGGTACTTTAAAAACATTATACTGTATCTAAGATTTCCCATGGTTTTAGGGTTAATATAACTTGGGTTTCTGTGGAGTTTGTCCAAATTCTGAGTTGATGCAAATGAACTTGACTATTGCATAATACAATATGAACAGGTATCTACAATAACTGGCTATCACAGTTAGGCCAATTAGCTGGGCGTGTTTCTTTAATGTTGGGAAGCAGGTTTGTTTTGAGGAAAGCCGCTCTGACATCTGCATCTTGTTAAACCTCCCAGACAACAAGGCTAATCTACGTGGAATAGTAAATGTTTAGTTTCCAGCTCCACTGTGATTCTGTGTTTGACAGTACACGACGGAAGGACCAAACCTTTCATTGCCAATGGCACTAACAAGGCATTCTTTAAAAGGTTGGAATGTAGGTTATGTAGAAAAGGAAAGCTGTAAGATACTCCTACACTAATGAATCTATAATTGTCCAAGTCTTTATTATTAGACACAAGCTGCTTGCTGGTGATGTTTTTAGAAAGCAGAGACAGAAAACTAATCATACTTTGTTTTAGCTTTCCTACTTGGCAGTGCACCGTTGATCCACAGACTGACAAAAATACTAAAACTGAAAAAAAGATTAAACACTTTCCATCACGCCATCCAAAACATCTGGGATATACACAGACAATATGTTAACCTCTTTTATGACACGACCTGTAGCAGTGGCCAGCCTAATGCTGTACTAACATGGTCAAGAAGTACACAGGCCACATAACACTGACTGACAGCTGTCATTAGTGACTGTAGTGTTTGGTTTAAAGCAGGAAAGTAAACGAAAAAATGGGAGATAAGAAATGTCAACAAGGATGTGCAGGAGTGGCTCCAGTCCAGGTTAAAGCTACCATATGTATTCCTAGGCTGATGTGGGGGGGTTTTCCTGCATGTATGTGCATATGTGCACGTGTGGGTACAATTACAGATGAGCATTACACTGTGCACGTGTCTGTGAACAAAGACCAGGCCACTTTACGCTTTGATGAACAGCTCTTCAATGTCCCCCACTGCCTTTGTTGTGAAAACCAGCCAGGACCCCAGCTGAGAGGGCTCGCTCTAATGACAGACACCAGTTTGCCTGCTGTCCTATTAGGATAATGTGTAAATAGTGCGGTGCATGTGCGGCACTGGAAAATACTCAGTTTCTTTCCTTTTCTTTCAAACTGCTGCCAGGTGGATGAACCTGGACTACAGTAAGAGGGACAAGGGTTGGAAAATTCTGCCATTAGTGGAACACAACTCATTCACAGAAAGCAGTGGACACAGTTATGTAAAAGAATGTGCCAACATTGCATATGACCTGAGAATGTTGAAAAATCTCAGTGCTGGCCTGTGCAAGCTGGACAGTCTTAAAGTACTATCACTACCCATCTGCTCTTTTAAGTCACATAATCACTGCTATCTGGGCTGTTTCCATGCTCTGGGTGCACAGAACTGGGGCAGCTGTTATGCAAGATGCGTTTCTTCAGATGAGGGTGATCATGCTAAGATCATGTTGACATCTCACTATCTCAGTCTGATCTCTGTGGCCTCTCTTAACTCCTCAACAGATGATGTGTTTAAAAAAAACAGCATAAACTGGGGTGTTGATAAGTTTACAGCCCCGTGAAGTGGATGGACTCTGTGAACGGTTCACCGCATTCTGTTGTCTACTTTATTGTTTATTTAAGAAATTAAAAAAAAGCAAAAAGCGTGTTATAAAAACTTTGGTAGTCGGTTAACTGGAAACTATCATCACAAATTATAAATCGCTCTCAGAATAAAATTAGAGAAGCTGCGCTGAATTTACTTTTACAAGCGGAAGCCCACGTGCACTGCGCTCAGCCGCACACGTGTTGGCTAGACGCCACATGTCTGTATTTATTAAAGATATGGTGTGAAATAAACCCAAATTAGTAATGGCATTTAGTGGCTCTGAACAGATCCCCGTAAAAGGATTCTCCGTGGCTTCTGTGAGCAGTCCGCACACTGACACGCTGTCCAGGGCAGTTTAAGACCAGGACAGCTGATGCAACTACTTGCCCTCGTTACAGCACCACACCAAGCCTCTAGGGGTAAATTTAGATACTCCCGGATTCATCAGGCTACAAGTTATCCCGGGGGTTGGCACAGACACGTTTTACCTCTAGTGGTGTGGAAACCAAGTTAGTGACTGAAGGGTCCTGTATTTTTACCAGATGCCCTCAGCGGCCAATGTCTAATTTGGCGCCTGAGTTACCCGCCTAAGGTATTAGTGAACAACATTATTTCACAGTTTACACATCATGTCAGGGCTCGAGGTGGCTTCACTCACCTTATCAAATCTAAAAAGGAGTCTATCACTTCTTTAGTGGCAGGCACACCGTCACCCACACCTTGCCCATTGCGATTATCGATTGCCACCGACCCTGGGGATATGATGTAAGCCATCACAACCCCAATGGAAGAGGCGATCAAGGTGGTGACCAGGAAGAAGAGCATAGCCCAGCCGCCAAGCTTGCCCAGGGCTTTGGGGTCGATGCTAGCCGCTCCGGACACCAGACTGCACACCACCAAGGGGATGATGATCATCTTCAGCAGCCTGATAAGCAGCTCACCGGGGAAGCTGATGTAAATGACCTGGGTCCTTGTCAGAGCCACGTTGCGCACACCAAGTCCGATGAAAACACCGATGATGACCCCGGCCACGGTGAGAATCACCAGCATGTTGGCCCTCACTATCCTCTTCACCCTCTGTGACAGCGGCTCCTTTCTGCTGCTGTTGGCGCCCGTCACTCCGTTCACCACCGCCTCGTCGAAGTGCGCCTCGCCGTTGGATGCCTTCCCTCTCTCCATGTCTATCTTCTCAACCATTGTGCGCTAAAAGTTACCCTGAAACCTATGCCAAGAGCACAGATACTTGCCTAAAAACTATCGTTATTGTGGAGGGAGTCACTGTAACTGCTACTAACATATATTGCCGGCTGCCTTTCCGCTTACGCACGCTGTTCTTCCGTGACACAGCGGGTCCTACTTATCCTTCCACAAAAGTCCTGCCCTGTGACGTATGAGCTATGTAAAAGAAGCATGCCCAATAGAGTCTTTATTTTATTTTTATTGATACAAAACTCTTTTGGACATGCTTCTTTTGCACAGTTGTATTTATCCCGTAGGCACACAACAGGATTGTCTGTTGATGTTTGATACATAATTAAATTAACAAAAACTACAGTGAAAAGAGTTTAACCAAAAGTCACATACCTCTAGGCTATGTGAACAGGTGGACTAGCGTTGTAGGAAGGCTGCATTTTGGCACAGGACGCCCGTCTTCAGGAGACTACAGAGTAATGACGCACTGCTTCACTCATAGGTAGCGTGTGTATATGGAGCAATTAAATGAAAAGACAATTATTGCACTATGCGAGGAAAACAAATGAGCACAATTTTTACTAGATAACTGTTGATCTAAGAATATGAAATGAAAATTAGAAAATTATTGTAAAGGCTAGGCTTTAGAAATAAACTCAAATTTGTAGCCTCTGTAATCCTCTAACAGATTAAATTTGTCCAGCAGAGTCACAGTTTTATATTTATCACTGTAATACGGCCATGTCATATTTACAATGATGCTCTACTTCAGTATCTGCCAACACTAATCTTTTGCCGGACTGCTTCCGTTTATTAGAGTGGCTGTTGGGTTGCACAAGCTGGGCAGCTGAGGTTTTGCCTGTACAGCTGTGGAGACTGCCTCTGGACTCTGATGTGACTTCCAAAGGGCATGTTTATTTGTTTTCCTCTCATGTACCAGCTCAAAGAAAAACATTTTGGTTGTAGTTGTAACATCAAAGTCTGATGTATGTGGAATGACAAGCACAGCGATATTATTAATATGACATCTGGTCAGTGGTGGAAGAAGCACTCAAGTAAAAGTAGCAATACAACCGTGTAAAAGTACTCTGTTACAAATAAAAATCCTGCATGCAAAATGTTACTTATGTAAAAGTACAAAAGTATTAGCATAAAAATATACCAAAACTCAAACTACTTATTGTGCAAAATTACACATTTCACAATAATGTATATCATATTATTGGAATATAATTATTGATGCATTATTGTGTTCATCGTTATAATTTTGCCACTGGTAAATGTGGAGCTGATGTTAATTATGTTATATACCTGTAATCTGAAGGAGTTTTATGATTATACTGTAAAGAAAGAAAGATATACTGTATTTTGTTTTATTAATCTCATCTTGAAAAGTGCACAGTGGTTCCTGTCACCTCACAGGAAGAAGGTTCCGGGTTCGAGCCCGGAAGAGTTTGCATGTTCTCCCTGTGCCTGTGTGAGTTCCTTCCACAGTTCAAAAACATCCAGGTTAGGTTGATTGGTGACTCTAAATTGCCCTTAGGAGTGAGTGTGGTTGTCTGTCTCTATGTGTCAGCCCTGTGATAGACCGGTGACCTGTCCAGGATGTACCCTGCCTCTCACCCAATGTCACCTGAGATAGGCTGCATCCCCCCGTGACCTTCGTTAGGATAAGCAGTATAGATAATGGATGGATAGATGGATGGATCTTGAAAACTAAAGTTATCAAATAAATGTAGTGAATACAAAGTACAATATTTTTGTCTGAAATGTAGTGAAGTCGAAATATGAAGCAATAGAAAATGGAAATACTCAAGTAAAGTGCAGATAACTCAAAACTGCACTTAAGTACACTACTTGGATAAATTTACTTAGTTACTTTCCATCACTGCATCTCATATGTTTGTATGAGAGAATGAGTTCAGGACTCCTTGGCATAATTTCAACAGAGCTGCATCTCAGTTACAGTGAAGTAACAGTAACAGTGACAGGAAGCATTACAACACACCACAACAATCTAAGTCTTCAACTCGGATGCAAACCAGGCAGACATATTTTCTAACTTAAACAAGACCTTAATGACGCAAGGAACAAAATGATGGCCAACAGATAAGTATGAACAGCGGGTAAATTCCTCAGAGTAAACTGGCAGGATACAGTGGTATAAATGTACTTTAAGTATAATGTTCAAGCTTTACTTTTGCAGGATGTGTACAAAGAAATTGTCAGGTAAAAACTCAGTCAACTCCATCCTGGCAGTAACACAGGAACATGTTGAAAACAGCAATCTGGCAGAATATGGACACAAGTCAGAACATATTCAGGTAAAGGAAGCAACTCCATACTGAGCTGAGCAGTGGGCAGGATGTGGGTCATGATAACAGTTCATACAAGAGGACAGAGTTTAGGTATCACTGCAGCCTGATAATAGACAGGTTAACTCAAAGGGCACGGGGCAAACGAAGTGAGCAGGGAGCAGGCAACTGACCAGACTGGAAAGAGAAAACAAAGCTCATGCACAGACAAAGGTGTGAATACAGGCTGGAAGCATGCAGGATCATTCAGAAGACCAATGCAAGTCAGTAACTAAGCAGGTAAAGGTACAGTAAGCAGGCTGGCGAGCCTGTGTCTAGGTTGACAATCTGGCAAGGAATGAATGCTCATGGCTGGCTTTTACTCTTCCTGGTTAATGATGCATATGAGGAACAGGTGAGTTTACGTGGAGTGTGCAGGGGCAAAGGGAAGAGAGGAGACATGGAGCAATGCGTGAAGGTAGGCAGGGCAGGGTCTGAAATGACCATGAGAAATGAGGAAGTAAACTAAAGCAGAAATGATGGCAAAAACAATGACAACTTGAAAATGGTGGGGAAAAAAATAACAGTGAAAGTGGTGGGTAAGAGTGAAAGTTTGAGATTGACAAATAGAGGTTTCCAGTATTCAAGTAATATTGGTTTCCTGGCCATCATCCTGCAGTTTCTCGTAAAATGTGTGTCGTAACAAGAGACAAACTCCCATTGTCAGGGATACTGGGGTCTACAGTCTGAAAGCTTTAAATTTGTGTGTAGGGGTCCAAGACAGCCCGGGGTTAGCTTACACGCAAAGAACAATCCAAGACTATTTAAGCAGCTTCCCACTGGTAGAAATTTGTGGGAAAAGCACCTTTAACACCAAAGAATGCACCCAGCACCAGAACCCAGGCTGGTAGGAAGCTCCCCTCTCAGTGCCCAGTTTGTTATCTCAAGCTTGTTCTTTGTTCTCTGTGACTGTATGAACAGTCACTGTGATTCCGAGAAAAGTTGATCACTCTTTGTGAAAGCACAACTTTAATAACTAAACCTCCAGGCATATGAGAGCAGAGAGTTTTTCTAGAGTAGGCCCCATCTATAAAAACACACACTGCACGCAAGCAATGTACAACCTGTGGAGATGAGATTTTGCTGTTATTTAACATATCAACATTTGACTGGTTTTCTAAATGCAGATCTCTTACAAAAACACCAAAACAATAGCAAGCAGTTAATGTTCATTCAATGATAATGGCATGCTGAGCATGCTACTGACGTGAGCACACATTACTGTGGTAATAAGTTTGATTTGTGGTTTAAGTATTCCCCTTTTATAGATCTAATATGCAGACTGTCACAGTCTTACAGACCACCTCATTTTTAAATTTGGTTCTTATGCACATCTTATGGACACAATAGCAAAAACACCTGTACAGATGAAAGGTGTTGAATCAGTGGTACAGTATTTATATGGCTCTTTATCATACAGTATGTTGAATTATATGCTATTGTTTAACTCCACACTGAAAATAAAGAGAATGGACAACTTCCTGGGATAAAACTTAAATAGTAACTATCCTGAGAATATTTGGATGGATTGCTATGAATGATTACGTGTGGGGCACAGTGGTGCAGTAGTTAGCAAATACCTACCAGCCTTTCTGTGTGCAGTTTGCAGGTTGTCCTTGCATGGGTTTTCTCCTGGTACTCCAGCTTCCTCCCACAGTCTAAAGACATGCAGACTAGGTTAGGTGGCAACTCTAAATTGTTTTATAGGTCTCTGACCAGAAGGGTATAAAAATTGTGCCAAACTGCGTACATGGACCATGATGCTCCACTGTGGCAACCTCCGACATGATGGGGGGCAGCCAAAAGAGGAACAACATCTCTATAAAACTATGCACTCAAGGTCCCAGATGAGGAATTCTTCTGACTTTGATGAAACCACTTTTTGACTTTCTGAAGCTAACATGAGATCTTAGTTACAACCAAATAATGCAGACGTATTGACATTCCCTTCAACCTCTGCTGTACGTTGTGTTTAGAGCTGTGAAGTAAATGTAATGTTTATTATGCAAAGCTAAGCACGCATGTATAATCCTTATTATTCATATTGTAAATTTGTGTTGCTCTATTCTCTAAACGCATCTGGAAGAAGGATCCCTCTTCAGTTGATCTTTTTGAGGTTTCTTCCATTTTTTCCATTCTCGAGCCCCTTGAGGCAAATTTGGGATTTTGATACTGGATAAAGGTGAAAATAGGATTTCGCTCAATGATGAGAATTTACTTTATTCTGTAAGAAGACAAAAGTCTGATTGTGATCCTATTTTTACATTTGTTGGATAATATTACCGGGATAACACATCGAGTCTTCCCAAGTGCAGTAGAACGTGTATGAAAAAATGATTTTTGTTATTGTGTGTTGTGTTAATATTTGTTGTGTTATAGTATTGTAGTTAATAGATGACTTGAATTATAACAGTACAAAGCTAAAAGTGATTCACTTACTTGTGGTTTAATCTGAAAAGCTCATAGTTTCTTCCTTTTTTCTGATCTGAGTTTGATGACAAAACCAAAGGTGCTCACTTTTAATCTGCACTGAAATGTTTTAATCTGGTTTAATGATGCAGTCTACCTGAAGTAAGGCACACAGCACAAGCAGGGAAGGAGATATGTCCATCAGGTGACCTCTGAAATTGGGATGTGGAAATATGCCAGACAACAAAATGCAGCTGTCTCAGGTATCATGATGTCAACAGGTGAGCGAGAGGAATACTGACAATAAAGAAAATAGAAAGGTGGAGGCAACGAGGAAGAAAAGACACCTAATATCCATTGTTAATGTGCCAGTACAGTACAAAAGGACATTCACTGATTGTAAGCTGCTTTTTTCACCTGCAGTGGGA